TGTATTACAGACCAGTGTATTACAGACCAGTGTATTACAGATCCAGTCCTTGAAATATTTTGAGTAGAGGGAGAAAGTCACAGAAGCATGAGTTGGACCCTGAATCTCTATTGACTTTCTTTGCAGAATGAGAAGACCTTTGCTTTTCTGACCTGGGAAGTCATGTGAAATGGCTGCATAGTGACTTTTCTGAATTTGACAGTTGGCCAGACTCCAGGGACAAGGAACAGGGAGAAATGCCTGCATATACTAGTTATGGAAATTATTCCTGGCTCTCACAATCCTTTGGAATTTTATTAACCAGAAAAAGAGCATTTTAAGACTCACCAAAGAATCTGTGAAGTCTATTAGAAGATTTACTAATTTATGTACAGACAATTATTTCTTTAAACTGAGTTTGTGGACTGTAAAAAGACTGAGGATGGACAAAATGAAATCAGTTCTCATAGGAAGTTCTGGAGGAGGCTAGTTTTGACAAACTTCTACTTGACATGGATGAGAACTGTAGTTAGTCATATCTCTCTACATTCCTCTTCCAACAACAAGATGCCTCTGCTAACCCACCAAGTTTAAAATGAGTCACTGGAGATGAGAGCCGAGGCACAGGGTAGAACAGATTATGGGGACAGACACAGGTAATACATGCACAGGGAAACCGCGAGATTGTGCATGGGTGACTAGAACTAAATGGTAAGACTAGCCCGGAGTCTTTTAGATTCATTTAAAAAGAGGAAGGTTTAGATATATGATAACTTGAGGAGGCCCTGGATCCCATGTAAGAGACGATTCAAAACCACAATCTGTCCTTCAGCAAAGGTAAGAAAATAGCATTCAGAGATTAGGTTTGACAGTTGAGAATAGATTAAAAAAGAGAAATCAGAGGCAGACGAAGATAGTCCAGAGTCAGTTGCAAGAACCAACTGACTGAGCAGTCCGTGGAGACAACCACTGTTACATAATGGGCCTTTGACCCACAAAATGAAGCCCACAACAGATACACAAATTACAAAGGGCACCTCGTCTGGTAGGTAGATTAGAACCAGGTGCCCCTTCTTTCAGGAGAGGCAGAGCCTTGTGGCTACAGAGCTTCATGGTGGGCTACAGAGAAGAGCTTGGAAAGGCCGCCCCTTGTCCACCTTGGCTAGGAACAGAGGTGTCAACTGTGTGATGTGCAAGCTCACACTTTCCTACTTTGTTCTCTTCCTGTAGTCATTTCCTAAGGCTACGGTAATAAAGAAGACTCATGGGGTGGGTGGGTGGGTTTAGAGAACAGGGATTTATTGTCTCACCATTTTGGAGGGTAGAAGTCCAAATCAAAGCGTTGACTTCAGGGGAGTCTCCCGCCCCATTAGTAACTCTGGGAACTCTTTGGCTTTTTTTGACTTGTTGACCTTCCTCATGTGATCTCTTTCCATTGGTGTCTCTGTTCTACTTTGGTCCTTTTATGATGCCACTCATAAAGGATTAGGGCTAGGACCCAACCTCCCCCAGAATGACCCCAATAGTGGAAAAGAAAATCTCTATTTCTGTATTTAAA